CTTTACATTTTTTTGATTCTGTTTTGGGTAGAACCAATAAAGAAGAACTCGAATACGGATATGGAATAACACAGATATATTACAAACAGGAATATATACAGAGAAGTAGAAAGTGTTAGTACGAACAATCAGGTTTAGTAGTAATTGTCTGAACCCGACTCTGTTTCGGATTGCCTCTGACTCGACTGACTGACTCGCTCTGACTGACTGACAGACTCCTGACGGACGTGAACTCTAGACTTCAGACGGAACTCTAGACTTCAGACTGAATTCCCTGCTTCCTCTTGAGGCGCAGTATTTATTACGTATGGAATAGTCCATTATGTTATTATGGGTAAGGTCCCATAACACGTTTTATGTTCTTTCTTTCTTTATTTATTTTTATGTTCTTTCTTTCTTTCCTTTTGTTATGGTCCGTTTCCTTGTACCACGGTGATAGTCCAAGGTAGAACCAATAAAGAAGAACTCGAACACTTATATGGAATAACACAGATATATTACAAACAGGAATATATACAGAGAAGTAGAAAGTGTTAGTACGAACAATCAGGTTTAGTAGTAATTGTCTGAACCCGACTCTGTTTCGGACTGCCTCTGACTCGACTGACTGACTCGCTCGCTCGGACTGACAGACTCCTGACGGACTTCACTCCAGACTTCAGACTGAACTCCCTGCTCCCTCTTGAGGCGCAGTATTTAGTACGTATGGAATAATCCATTATGTTATTATGGGTAAGGTTCCATAACAGATTCAAAGCCAGTGGACTGGTATCAGGGACAGATTCAGATGCTGGCTGATCGCTGGCAGGAGATCGCTGGCAGGAGATCGCTGGCAGGAGATCGCTGAGGATGATGGACTTTATTTTGAAGAATAAATGTTGGTGTTGCTACATAACATTTTGGTGTTTTTTTTTCTTATTCGTAAGTGAGTCAGGACTTTCTAGCCAACTTAATAAATACATTGTCAAATCGATCACTTTTTAAAAAAAAATTAAGATATGCAGATGGCACTGTGTTGATAGTGGATACTGAAAGGAAACTACAACATACCTACTGATAGCAGTAAATAAAAGTGAGAAGAAAGGACTGCAAGTAGACAGAAGGTTGTTAGCAAAAAGGAACAGCCCAACATGCAAATTACAAATTGGAGATACCAAAATCAAGCAAGTACAAAAAAGAACCCCCACCTAAACTCCTAAAGGTATTTTCTTGAAGCCCCTCGGGTTTCGAGGCCCGGCACATTTGTGCCGGCTGTCCTTTCCTCTTGCCGCCACTGCTCACACGCCTTCGCGGTCTATTGAACGGTCTATTGTCTCCTGTTTAGGATAGGGTTTCCCAGGTCCTTCTATAGTCTTCTCATTCTCTTTCATCCCCAGTAACCCCTTGCGTCTTGGTGGCATTTTTTCCTTGCTTGGAGGAAAATGACTAACAAAAAGGTTCGTATGTCTACTTTTATTCCAGGAATTACGGCCACGTTGCAAAACTAGTTCCCGTACAATCACCGAAGTTAACCTACGTTGAGCCAGGTCAGTACCAAGATGGGTGACCCCTGTAGCGTAAAGCCATAAGATCCCATGTCTTACATGGATAGAAAGAAACAGAGTGTAACCTACCAATCGAGCAGGAAAACAGGGTATAGAGCAAGAGGATAAATATTGTATAGAGCATCGAAGGATAGGAAATTGTGGAGAGCCATGATCGACCACGTCCTGATGGGATAGCCGTAAACAACGAGTAACTTACCTAGTTAACTTTTATAAGTGGATGATAGAATAGGAAGTATAATAGTAAGGAGACAAATATTGCTTAGAACTTCGAAGGATAGGAAATAGTGGAGAGCCATGATCAGCCTCGCCCTGAAGAGACAGAGGAAAACATTGACTAACTTAACTAATGAGCTTTTGTAAATGCTTAACGGTATAATGTAGAAGGGATAGTTTAGATACAATCGTTATTAAGGCCAATAAACGATAGGTAGTTGTGGAGAGTCATGACCGCCCACGTTCTGAAGAGACGTGACAAGTAAAAGAAAAAGCTGTTACTCTATTTGATAACCTTGACAGATTTAAAAAAATACATTTTCCACTCGAAAGCAATTTGTATGCGAATTTGGAGGAACTTTTTCTTTCGTTTTACGCGCATGAATATTCAAAATTGATGCGTATTCGTTATCCGGTCTGTCGTATGCGTATTAATATTTCACAGCCGAAACTCGTCGCGGCAAGAAAAGCCTCCATTAAACAACAGGTCAATGATTTATTCTCCTCAAGTGACTTTTCTTCGCCTCTTTTCCGATTTCGTGCGCGAAGAAGGTGCTTCATTTTGCGTTCACTTATTATTCATAAAAATTCATGCTTAACTTGGCTCGAGAGGCTTATCCGGCCAAATCTACCGGAAGTCTATATTGATTTTCTAAGCATAGCTTAGATGTGGCACAAAGCCGAAAGTATGGGACATCCAGTGAGGATCGAACTCAATACTCACTCGTAATCGTTTTAGCGAGACAAGCTTGTTAACCATTACACCGCCTCGAGGTACCCAATGATTTTTCAAGCGTAGGTTAGATGTGGCAAAAGGCCGAAAGTAGTGGGCACCCAGTGTGGGTCGAACTCACTACTCGGTCGAAACTATTTTAGCGAGACAAGCTTGCTAACCATTTCACCACCTCGAGGTGCCTCTACCGGAAGACTATATGGAATTTAAAAAGACAGTGCGCAGGCGCAATTCACTAGCTTGACTTGTATGTTACACTGTTCGTGAAGATAAACAGTTTTTGCGTTAAAATATTTGGGAAGTTTTCCAAATTGTATTAGAGTGTGGGAAGTTTTTCTCAACCTTTTATTTATTTATTTAGGGGTGCAGAAAAAAAAAGAAATTCTGGATCGCACTTTAAATTTTAATAGGGAAAAATTAGTCATGAAATTGAAAAATAAGAAAAGATCTCCTGGAATAAGCATTTATTTTTAAGAGATTGCTTTGTATATTTAAGCAAGGCCGATGCTTACTATCCCTAAACCGCCTGACTGGAGGGAGCCTAATTGGAAGTCGGGACGCGTAGTACTCTCTGAACTTCGCCGTCTTATCAACATTTGCTTTTTGCTACATTTATAAATTAAACTAAATACGAATTACTATGAAAAGATGAAAAGTTTTCGTGGATTTTGACATCATTCTGGGTCTTTTTCGTTTCGTCCAAACCAGTGAGTTTGTTTGGCTCTGGTGAAGTCTCGTAAAAAAATTTTAAAAATTAAGTAAATAAAAAATAAATAAATATAAGTAAATAAATAAAACCTTTATAAATTCACTATTTTTCATGCCTTATGTTTAATGTGTTAAAATTATTCAATTGTTATCGTCTGGCTTTACTACACTACTACAGTAAAGTCAAGCGGAACAGAAAAAGTTCTACAGAATTATCTAAATAAATCAAAATAATGTACTTAATTAGATTCTGTGAAAACTGCCTGTATGGAATTTTTTAAACAGATGAAAAACAAATTTTAAAATATATTATTTGTTGTAGTAAGTACCAATTCGGAGTAAATAAACATTAGTTAATTTTTTTTTTATATGGTAACTCCTATGTATCAATGTCTATAGCCTGAAATTCAAATGGACTTCTCATAATGGTAAAAGGAAATTTAGAAAATTGATGTCTTGCTGAAAATGTTTATTTTGAAATATTATAGAATGTGATGTTGAAGAAAAAAATAACAATAAAATTCCCTGCCTAGCGCAAGGATTGAACTTACAACATTCAGTCAACGAACTAGCGATGTTAGCTCTTAGTGAAAATATCACCCCTGTCGACTGAAATAAGATCATCCATAGGAGCTGTATAAAAGTCAAGACTGTTCCTCTCTCGTTAGAATTTTTTCAGTTGCCGGGGAATTTTGTCACACGTCATAAGGTCGCCCCCCCCAACAAAAAAAAAAAAAAAAAAAAAACACCGTAGCACACAAGACACCACAAATGGGATTTTCAGTTGCCGAGAAAAGAGGAGACTAAGAAATCAAAACAAGTAAAAGAGAGCAGAAAAGACTTAATTTCAACTACAAAAGGTAACAGAACTTTTCCTTTTCTTTGTAAGACGGACATTTGAATAGTACTGTTTAAAATTTTATAAGATATTTGTTGTAGCAGTATTCGGGATAAATAAGCATTCCTTAATTAGTTTTCACATGGTAACTCCTATGTATCAATATCTAGAATTTGAATTCCAACTTCTCAAAATGGTAATTTAGCATGCCGATACCATTTTATCAATGTTGAATTTTGTACAAATCTGTGCAAAAAGTGGATCAAGGATTTTCAGGAAATCTCAACTTCTAATTGGTCAATAAACACACAAGTGAGCAATCCACCCACGTACAAGTCTTTTTCCAGCGCGTTTTCTAGTTTTCTCGCTTCTTTTCTAGGAGCCTACCACGCGATTAAATTAATTATAAATACCAGACAAGTTCGTTCTCTTCCTTGATTTCATTCACCTACGAAAATGTAACCTTAAAGGAAACTGCGTTGCGACCCCCTTGCGGTCGAACGCTGAAAACATTCACATAGACGTATGAAATTCTCCAAATTAGGTTACAAACATACGAAACATTTTCAAACCAGCATCTAGAACTTTTCTCTTAAAGATACACTGATCATGTAGAGAAAAACGGTGATGAGGAGGCGGTCAAAAAGTGCAGTGCTTGTTTGTTTCCTGATTTGTGTGGGGAATACTCACCCACTATGGCGGAGGTGACCAAGGAAAAAGAGCCATTGGCCAGTAGGTCGACTGCACTATCAGCTTGGGTGCCGGAAAAAAAAAGGGGGCCAGAATATTACAAGAGACTCCGAGATGAATACAAGGAGTTCATCTCAAAAAATGAACTGTTAACAATACCTTATATCATGGAGACAGTGGCAACTAGGACAATCTTCCTGTTGACGGTCGACATCAAGACTAGGAAATTAATGGCTGTCAGCAGGGAAGCAATGAAAAAGCCCTAAAGGCTTTAAATATTGGGACAAAAGTTTTGGCCCGAAGACCTTATGCCATCTGGGATATCCTGCTGGCAACTGAAGGGACAGCCAAAGCATGGAGGGTGCCGCCAAACAGCAGCAGAAGCGGAGCGTCCCAGACAAGGGTGCCGCCAAACAGCAGCAGAAGCGGGGCGTCCCAGACAAGGGTGCCGCCAAACAGCAGCAGAAGCGGGGCGTCCCCAGGAAAGGAGCAGCTAAGCAAAATGACAACCAGCTGAAGCAGCAGCAGACGCAGCAGCAGCGGGAGCAGCGACAGAAACTGCGGGATCAACAACGCGAGCAGCAGCGGGAGTAGCAACGACAGCCGGTGCAGCACAAGCAGGAGCAGCCGATGCAGCAACAACAGCAGGCCGGAAAAGAGGTCCAACCTGAACAAGTGGTGGAGAATTTGCCTCAACTGGACCTCTATATGGAGGTGGAGGAAATGCCTCCGCCTCGATCTTCATTAAAGAGAGGCAGAGGACTTTATTACCAACACTAAGAAAGAAAGGAGAGCAGGCCGGAGTAGAGAGGAGAAAGCACAATCTGCGCCTGCTTCAACAGCTAGAACGGAAAAGGATCTCCAGCAAGGCAAGACATGTGCGAGGCGCTTCGGCAGCATGTCGAGAACTGCTTTACAAGGACTCTGGTCTCAGTGGCGACGAGTTTCGCAGCTATTTGGATGACTTTCCTCGGCTCTCGCCGAATAAAGCAGCTAGCTGCGAGGGTGAGATCACGGAGGGCGAAGTCTACTTGGCATTGAAGGTCGGCAGAGGCAAGTCTCCGGGACTTGATGGTCTGTCCTATGAAATGTACTGAGGCTATCGCAAATCTTTGTCCCGATTTTGACAGTGGTGTTCTACAACTGGTTCGGGCAAGGGTCCATCCCCAACCGGATTTCCAGGAGTGTGATCACGCAGTTGTAAAAGGGCAAGGCTGTTGGGCTGGATTTAGATGACTACAGGTCCATAACTCTGCTAAACAGAGTTGAAGGTTTTGGCCAAGATTCTGACGGAGAGGTTGCAGTCAGTTGTCGCGAGCTTGTTGGGACCTGAGCAGACTTGTGCTGTGAGAGGACGAACAATTCTAAGTAACCTGCATCTCATCTGCACGATCATAGAGGGTGTAAAAGACAAGCGAGCCGCGCTGATCAATTTGGATCAGTCCAAGGCATTTTGACAGGGTTGACCATCAATGTCCTGCAGGACAGCAGCTAGGTATTGATGGTCAACCCTGTCAAAATGCCTTGATTCGAACCCGATTTCTGCAGGTAGATTAGCCTCTTGTCTCGCACCCCCAGTGCTGTGGTACAGGTGAACGGAAGGCGGTCGAGCGCTTTTGCGCTGACTCGGTCGGTCCGACAGCGGTGCCCACTGTCGCCCTTACTTTATGCTTTGGCGTTGGAGCCCTTCCTTCGCCAGCTAAGGGACAGGGCGTGCAGTCCGGCCCTACGCGGAATCGCCGTTTTCCCTGGTAGTGCTCGAGCTAGTGCTTCCGGGTACGCCGATGACGTATCCATCTTCGTGTCGGGCCGCAGAGACATTAAGTTGATGCAGAAGGCGCTTGAACGGTACGAGAAAGTAACGGGGGCCAAGATTAACCGCAACAAGTCTTTCGATTTGCGGTTAGGTGCCTGGAAAGGGGTCGCGATTCCGCGACCCTTCGGCTGGACTGATGGACCCTTCCGCATCCTTGGGTGTGGTTCATTCCCGAACTCCGGCTGAAAAAGAATTGGTCAGAAGTACAGGCAAAGATCGGAGCGTCGGTCCGGACTTAGCATCAAAGGGGGTTGTCCTTAAAGGGTAAGGACAAGGCGTGTGCCACTTACGCCATCCTTTACCGCTTGGCTGTACTTCCTAATGACGAAGGCTAGTTGGGTGAACCTTTCTATCTCGGCTCCCTTGAATCCGGCCAATCCAACAAGCTGCCTGGTTTTGTTCACGTAGACGTCCACACATTCGCCGGTCAGCCTGACCATGGTCAGTTTTCTGTACGCTGAAAACGCGTCGTCCGTAAATGCCTCCTTCAGCCTGGCTTCGATCTGATCAACGTCTCTCTGACCTTTCTCCTCCATTTCCGTGTAGAGGGCTAGTGCGTCCCCCTCCGGGTACAATGGCAGCAGGCTAGCCATATCATCTACCTGCTGAAGTCTTGCCACGCCAACACATCACCCTGGCCGGAAAATGGTTTTATAACGTCGCTGCTTATGTGAACCTTCGCCATAACTGCCGAAATAGCTTGTAGAGAAAAAAGGTAATGAGGGGGGGGGGGTCAAAATATACAGTGCGGTGCTCGCCGGCAGGTCAGCTATTTTTTTCCTCCTTCGGTCGCCTCAAGGAAATGGATTGTGTGGTTCCTTTATCAGCCGTTACACTGGGCACTTCGACTTCCCCGTCTGCCAATCAGTACGTCCCGCTCTGTGGCACGCTATCCGCCGAATAACTTCGGTTGTCTTGTGCTGCTGGCACCCCGCTTTTTATGCTATTCCAAGACGGCCAAAATTTGCATGTGTGCAAATATCATCTCGTTTTGGATGAGATATAAATTGTGTCTTCAGTAGCGGCCATATTTTTTTTTTGTCAACACTTTACAGGCAAGACACGTTCGCGCTCGTTTCGAATTCTCAGATAAGTCATGTCTTTCGTTACAGATCAAGCTTTCGCAGACATCTTTACAAAAAAACGAAATGTATTTATTGTTCCAAACATATCCTTTTTGTCGTAATTGAATATTTTTACCATTTGATTTTTTATTAAAATTTATGTTTGCGGATGTTTCATTTACAGCGAAAAGTTAAAATATTCACGCAGCCTTCTTAGATGCACAACAAATCTCTTGGAAGAAGCATTTATTTTTAATAAGAGATTGCTCTCTATATATAAGCAAGGCCGATGCGTACTACCATCAAACCCCCTAACCGGAGGGAGCCTAATTGGGGAGGGGTGAGCAGTGCTCTGTGAACTTCGCTATCTTATCAACATTTGCTTTTTGCTACATTTATAAATTAAACTAAGTTCAACTTTCTATGAAAAGATGAAAAAAATTCGTTGATTTTGACGTCATTCTGAGGTCTTTTATGTTCCGTCCAAACCCGTGAGTTTGTTTTGCTCTTGCTAATTCTCGAAAAAAAAAAACAAAAAGACTATAGAAAATTCACTATCTTTCATCCATGATGTTTAATGTGTTAACAAAAATTCAAATTGATAAAAATTACCGCAAAACATTGTTGATTTATTTAAGTTGGAATGATCTATTATGACATGTCTCTAATTTATATTTAGATACATTTTATTTATTTTCAATTTTTCTAGATGAATTGTTCACCCATATTGCATAGGATCCATTATTGTACATAATTAGGTTACAATAAAATTTGTATCTTATATGAATAATATCTTATGAAAATTGAGATCTAGTAAAATGATGGGTCCCTTTCATAGATTCAGAGAGGGTCCACAAGATCCCGAATAGCCTGTGAAAATTCTGGGTCATTTAACATATCAGATTATCTGTTTTTTTCTAGTTGAATTGTTCACCTATATTGCATATGATCCATTATTGTACATAATTAGGTTACAATAAAATTTTTATTTTATCTAAATAATTCTTTATGAAAATTGTGATGTCGTCGAGTTGGGGTGTTAGGCCTTATGTTATAACTTGAAGCAGGCAAAAGGGAAAGGATTATCCACTCATTAAAGATTAAGGAATTTAGCATTCATTTTAAAACTTCAAATGACAGACTTGAGCTAAACATGGAAGCTATATGCTAGGTATCTCTATCATTTTAAATATAAAGTTGATTTTTAATTAAGAAAATAATTAATAAATGACTCTCCTCTTAACTTTGGGCTCACCTATCTTTCAAAGAGAAAAAAGCTTGGATAATAAGTGTAATATATTATCCTCATTGGAAAATACATTTTGGCTGCTTCCGTTCTAGAAGAGTCGTTCTAAAACTTTTTCAAATGTATACCCTTTTCAAATTTTCAGACGGGTGTTCTTTTCAAATTTTAAAATGTGTACACTTTTTAAATTTTTTTAATACGTTCTCTTTTCAAATTTACAAATGCGTAATGTTTTCAAATTTTCACATGGGTGTTTTTCATATTTTAAAATGCGTACACTTTAATTTCAGAATACATAATCTTTTTACATTTCTAAATGCGTACTCTTTTCAGATTTTCCAGATGCGTACTCTTTTCAAATTTTCGGGATGCTTACTCTTTTCAAATTTTCCAGATGCTTACACTTTTCAAATTTTCCAGATGCGTACTCTTTTCAAATTTTCCAGATGCTTACTCTTTTCAGATTTTCCAGATGCGTATTCTTTTCAGATTTTCCAGATGCGTACTCTTTTCAAATTTTCGGGATGCGTACTCTTTTCAAATTTTCGGGATGCGTACTCTTTTCAGATTTTCCAGATGCGTACTCTTTTCAGATTTTCCAGATGCGTACTCTTTTCAAATTTTCGGGATGCGTACTCTTTCCAGATTTTTCAGATGCGTACTCTTTTCAGATTTTCCAGACGCGTACTCTTTTCAGATTTTCCAGATGCGTACTCTTTTCAAATTTTCCTGATGCTTATTTTCTTCAAATTTTCCTGATGCTTACTTTCTTCAAATTTTCCAGATGCGTACTCTTTTCAAATTTTTCTGGTCCGTACTCTTTCGTCTTGCCAAAATCTCTTGGTGTACTCTTTGAGAAAACTCTGGTTTTGTTTCCTTTAAATTTTATTTTCAGTTTTGCTTCACTGATTCTGGACCAGCAGAAATAATGATAGTACAGGGTTTTATGTTTTTTTAATGGCATAACAACTCCTTATGGGTCATTTAATGCCAAAATTTAATTTTCTTTTCAGCCTTGGCAATTTTATTTTCAAAAATGTATTGATGGTATTTTTTCTCTTCTTTTCCATTTTCTTTTCAGGCATATTTGGATGAAGTATTTATTGAATGTAAATGTTTTGGGCCCAGTTTAGGGGTACACTATTTTCTCATATCTGGGATCCTAACAACTCAAGTCAGCGTGGTCCTGGGAACAATAGCAACTAAGAGGTGGTTCCACGATCCTCAAAACTTCCCGATGAGAGGCCTTGCTGCCGGGTGTAGTTTATCGTCATACCCAGGACGATCTTCAAGTGGACAGTTATATTTACTCACAACACTGGTTTTAAATAAGGAGTTGGAAGCGATAATTTTACTATATCGCTCTATAAAAAAAAATCTATGTCAACATCATCAGCCTTCGATCCCCCTAGGGTTGGTCGGAACTCCAGTGGCAATACCTTTCCATGCTGTTCGGTCCTGTATTGCTGTCCCCAGATCCACAATTTCCGAGCTGTGGTGTATGGGGAAAATCAATTATCGGGAGAAGACACTCCCAGAAGGATACCATAGGAGTAAGAATGAAGCGTTTGTCTTTATCCGCTAATTTCGGCCGACGATCGCGAATTTTAAACCTGCATATGGCATATAAGACGCAGGGGTATTTTAGTAAAAAGTGCGCCTTATATGCCGTCATATACGTTAGTTCTCCTCAGCTATTGTCGCACTCTTTCCTACGACACCAAATTCATTTTTCTTCTGTTGGACAATCCTGAGTGTAGAATTTAGAGCTTTAACCTAATCTGTTTGTTGTGTCAGGGTTGACTGCATTCACTGACGCCAGACATATTCTGCGGAACCAGAACAGTCCACCCGATCAGATGAAATAGCTGCAGTTCGAAATAAATTATTAGGTTGGTGCAAAAATAATAACGTAATGTCGTTTTTTGACGTATTTTTTAACGTAAAAAAACGACATTATTACGTCATTATTTTTGCACCAACCTAATAGATGTTTTGAATTATTCTTTTTTACGGCTTATCAACCTTTGCAGCCAGAATATATTTTAAGATTGTAAGAATGATTTTTTTTAATGATTTATTAATACAAGTCTTACTATTTAACCCATAGCTGGGGAGATAATTTGATTCATATCCAATCAGATTTTGATAAAGAAACAAGAAATTATAACGTGGATATAGTGATGGATCAATTCTATATTAAAATCGATATATAAACTGACCCCTCACTTTGGCCACGTTATTATTCTAGAGAATGTAAATAAATCTAAAAGACATGCCTGTGGAGCTAATCAGTATTTCATTGATTGATTGATTCGTTTTCTACGGTTTATCAATAAATAGGAAATTATAATGTGGATATAAAGTGGGGGATCAATTCTATATTACAATCAATACATAAACTGATACCTCACTTTGTGTCCACCATAGTTTCTATACATTTTTATTCTAGAGAATGTAAATAAATCTAAAATACATGCTTGTGGAGCTAATCAGTATTTCATTGATTGATTGACCCTTTGCAGGTTATTTAAAGTCAGAAAATATGTTTAGAGTGTAAGATTTTTTGGGTGGGTGGGGAGATAAAAATGATTTAATAAAAGTCTTAATTAATCCATAGCTGGGCGTAAAAAAAGGTGGATTTACACCTAATCAGATTTTGATAAACAAAATTATAACGCGTTTATAAAATCGGGGACCAATTCTATATTACAATCAGTATATAAACTGAGGCTCAGTATCTGCCTGTATTTCTGACATGAGGTATTTTGTACACGATTTACATTATTCGAAATATTGTCCTCATCTTTGTCGCCATATTTATTACAACGTTTCGCCCGTTGTACGCTCCGGCCTTCTTCAGGTGGTTGGAATGTTGAACTGAACCCTTTATTTCGCACACTGGGGTAGACTGTTCTAATTCCACGTGCCATGTTTAATGGATGTCAGTTATCAGTTATCTCTTAATTCCCCTCTCCAGGTTCTCTGCTGCCTTAACCGGGTATTTATTATATGATATTACATTAGAACATGTATAGAATCGCTACATAAAAGCACTAATGTTTCGGTGCATGTCATCGAATCTCATCAGACGGTGGTAAATGAGGGTTATTTCAGTTTTTGATATTTACTTACAAACAATCTCTTTTCGCACGAGAAAAGAAAAAAAATACGAAAAGCAAGCAAGCAAGCAAGAAAGAAAGGACAAGATATAGTCTCATATAAAGAAAAAAGAAAAGAAGACATTTTATAGCCGAAAAAAGGAAAAGAGAAAGAAAGGTTAAATATATAGTCTCATATAAAGAAAAAAAAGAAAGGATGACATTTTATAGCCGAAAAAAAGAAAAGAGAAAGAAAGAAAGAAAGAAAGAAAGGAGGTTAAGATATAGTCTCATATAAAGAAAAAAGAAAAGAAGACAATTTATAGCCGAAAAAAAGAGAAAGAAAGGATAAGATATAGTCTCATATAAAAAAGGAAGACATTTTATAGCCGAAAAAAGAGAAAGAAAGATAAGATATAGTCTCATATAAAGAAAAAAGAAAGGAAGACATTTTATAACCGAAGAAAAGAGAAAGAAAGAAAGGAGGTTAAGATATAGTCTCATATAAAGAAAGAAAGGAAGGAAGACATTTTATAGCCGAAAAAAAGAAAAGAGAAAGAAAGGAGGTTAATATATAGTCTCATATAAAGAAAAAAGAAAGGAAGACATTTTATAGCCGAAAAAAAGAGAAAAAAAGAGATCTGCTTTGAAAACGATCATTGGCTAATAAATCACTAATACATTTTTTACAGGCAATTTACAAATCGCAGTAATGCGACAATTTTGGCATCGCTTTATTTTTTTAGTCAAATCTGTGCACTTTTTGGAGAAGTGGCTCACAGAAACTTCCTTAAATCTCCCCAAAGCTCGCTCGCTGATTGGTTGATGCCAACCAATCAGATCGTTTGCACGTGAAGAATAATTTTTCCTACACAACGAATCGGAGCCTATAGACGCTTATTTAAGCCAAGATTTTTCATATCAATTAGTGCTAAACGAATCTACGACAGTTGGAACTCCAGTTCTAACCATGTGCCAACCTTGTCACACACACACACACACACACACACACACACACACACACACACACACACACACCACATGCTGATGATAGTTTGTACACCTTCACTAAAAACTTCTATTGACACAAAAATACTTTTCAACGGTAATATCACAAGAACAATCATATCACCAAATAATTATCTCTCACTGAACTCTTAAATTGCATTCAAAGGGAGGCAACTCTTGATTAATTCAACCTTTCTTATTTAAATGCATGTTTTCTTTCACATCGTTTTTTGATATTGTACATCTTGTTAATATACATATATTTTATGTGCAACAATGTCTTATGGTTATTCTTCTTGAGCGAGTCCTGTTTTCTTATCAAAGTTAAATTAATGTGGTGAAGTATCCCACAATCCTCTCACTTCCTGTCAGCTCTTGACCGACAGCTGTAGACCACGGAATATGGTGTGGATCGCCCTCGTCCATACACTCGGCATTTGAATTCAGTGTTTTCCTTCTCCTGGACCATTCGTCCGGTTAAGGCTATAGGACTCAGTTTGCCCTGCTATTTAACCATAACTGGAGGAAGAAGATGATGATTAATGGTATATTAATGGGGATGTTGAAAGAAGACTGGACTCTGATGGAAATCAAAATAAGATTACTCAATCCGAGCCGGTATCCATTACTGCACCGTACCTCCTAGATGCTTCTAAAATCTTCACTAGTGGCTCCAAAACTAATTGATTTGTGCCAGACTAAAACATATTTACTAAATATCTCGCCTTTTAGCAAGCTTAGAACAGAAAGATTTGAAATGAAAGGGGTAAGGGTAGGATTGATTGCCTCAGACTTTATTCTTTAAAGTGCAGTTGTTAAATATTGTGAGGATGATCCACACCAGGTGCTTTTCATTCGTAACTTTGTATCGTACTAAACGAAAAAAAAATCAAAAGGTCATTTGGGTCTTTCATTCCTTCCCTTTGTCTATTCTTTCTAATCATATACTTTCTTCTTTTTTTTTTGTAACTTTCTTGTTTTTGCGTTAATTTCTTTTCTTTTTTTCTTTCTTTCTTTTTTGTGCTTCTGCACTATTTTATCTTCCTTTCTTTCTTTCTTTTTTCTAACTTTTCTTTCTTTTTTTTTCTACACTTTCTTTATCTATTTTTTTTTTTTTTTTATTTTACACTTTCTTTCTTTTTTTTTCTTTTTTTTTTTTTCTTTTTCTCTTTTATCTTTTTTTCTTTTTTTTTATCTTTCTTTTCTTTATCTCTTTTCTTTTATCTTTTTTGTTTCTCTTTCTTTTTTTTTTTTTTTGTTTCTTTATCTCTTCAATTTCTTTATCTCTTTCTTTCTTTATTCTTTTTTCTTTTTTGTGCTTCTATCTTTTCTTTATCTCTTTTTCTTTCTTTATTTTCTTTTTTCTTTCTTTCTTTTTTTATCTTTTCTTCTTTTCTTTCTTTTTTGTGCTTCTACACTTTCTTTATCGCTTTCTTTCTTTCTTTATCTCTTTCTTTCTTTCTTTTTTGTGCTTCTACACTTTCTTTATCGCTTCTTTTTTTTGTATTTATCTTTCTTTCTTTCTTTTTGTGCTTTCTTTATCTCTTTCTTTCTTTATCTCTTTCTTTATCTTTTCTTTCTTTATCTCTTTCTTTCTTTCTTTCTTTTTTGTGCTTCTGCACTTTCTTTATCGCTTTCTTTCTTTCTTTTTTGTGCTTCTACACTTTTATCTTTCTTTTCTTTCTTTATCTTTTTTCTTTATCTCTTTCTTTCTTTATCTCTTTCTTTCTTTTCATTCTTTTTTTTTGTGCTTCTTTTCTTTCTTTTTTTTTGTGCTTCTACACTTTTCTTTATCGCTTTTTCTTTTCTTTCTTTTATCTTTTTTTTATCTTTCTTTTTTATCTCTTTCTTTTTTTTTTGTGCTTCTGCTTTTCTTTATCTCTTTCTTTCTTTTTTTTGTGCTTCTTTCACTTTCTTTATCTTTTTCTTTCTTTATCTCTTTCTTTATCTTTCTTTTTTCTTTCTTTTTTTGTGCTTCTGCACTTTCTTTATCTCTTTCTTTCTTTTTTGTGCTTTACTTTTTATCTCTTTTTCTTTATCTTTTTCTTTCTTTTCTTTTATGCTTCTTTCTTTCTTTTTTGTCCTTCTTTCTTTCTTTTTGCTCTCTTTCTTTCTTTATCTCTTTCTTTTTTTTTTTTTTGTGCTTCTACACATTCTTTATCTTTCTTTCTTTCTTTTTTCTGCTTTGTTTTTCTCTTCTTTCTTTTTTTTTTTGTTTTCTTTTTTTTTCTCTTTATTTCTTTCTTTCTTTCTTTTTGTGCTTCTGCACTTTTCTTTATCTCTTTCTTTCTTTCTTTTTGTGCTTTATCACTTTCTTTATTATCTCTTTCTTTCTTTCTTTTTTGTGCTTTCTTTCTTTATCTCTTTCTTTCTTTTCTTTTTTTCCACTTTATTTTTTTTCTTTATTTTTTTTTTTTTTTGCTTCTACACTTTCTTTTATCTCTTTTTTTCTTTTGCTTTTTTTTTCTTTATCACTTTCTTTATTCTTTTTTTTTTTTTGCTTTGCATTTTCTTTATCTCTTTCTTTTTTCTTTTTTTTGTGCTTCTACACTTTCTTTATCTTTTTTTTCTTTCTTTTTGTGCTTTTTTTTTTATCTTTTTTCTTTCTTTTGTGCTTCTTTTCTTTATCTCTTTCTTTATTTATCTCTTTCTTTCTTTCTTTTTTTGTGCTTCTGCACTTTCTTTATCTTTTTTTCTTTTTTTTTGTTCTTCTACACTTTTCTTTATCTTTCTTTTTTTTTTCTCTTTCTTTCTTTATCTCTTTCTTTCTTTCTTTCTTTTTTGTGCTTCTGCACTTTCTTTATCGCTTTCTTTCTTTCTTTTTTGTGCTTCTACACTTTCTTTATCTCTTTCTTTCTTTATCTCTTTCTTTCTTTCTTTCTTTTTTGTGCTTTTTCTTTCTTTCTTTTTTTTTTGTGCTTCTTTTCTTTATCTCTTTCTTTCTTTCTTTTTTTGTGCTTCTTTTCTTTATATCTTATTTCTTTATCTCTTTCTTTCTTTCTTTTTTGTGCTTCTACACTTTCTTTATCTCTTTCTTTCTTTCTTTTTTGTGCTTCTACACTTTCTTTATCTCTTTCTTTCTTTATCTCTTTCTTTCTTTATTTTTTGTTTCTTTCTTTCTTTTTTTTTTGTGCTTCACTTTCTTTATCTTTTCTTTATTTCTTTTTTGTGCTTCTACACTTTTCTTTATCTATTCTTTCTTTATCCCTTTTATCTTTTCTTTCTTTTTCTTTTTTTTGCTTCTACACTTTCTTTATCTTTCTTTTTTCTTTCTTTTTTGTGCTTCTACACTTTCTTTTATTCTTTCTTTCTTTTATCTTTTTCTTTCTTTTTTCTTTTTTGTGCACTTTCTTTATCGCACTTTTCTTTTTTGTGCTTCTACACTTTTTTATCTTTTCTTTTTTTTTTGTGCTTCTTCTTTATCTCTTTTTTTGTGCTTCTTTTCTTTTCTCTTTCTTTATCTTTTTTTCTTTCTCTTTCTTTCTTTTTTTTTCATTTTGTGCTTCTCTTTATCCTTTCTTTCTTTCTTTTTTGTGCTTCTACTACTTTCTTTATTTTTCTTTCTTTTTTATCTCTTTCTTTATCTTTCTTTTTTTGCTTTTTTCTTTCTTTATCTTTCTTTCTTTCTTTCTTTTTTATCTTTTTCTTTCTTTCTTTTTTTGTTTTCTTTCTTTATCTCTTTCTTTCTTTATCTCTTTCTTTATCTCTTTTTTTTTTTTGTCTTTCTTTCTTTCACTTTTTTTTTCTCTTTTCTTTATCTCTTTCTTTCTTTCTTTTTGTGCTTCACTTTCTTTATCTCTTTCTTTCTTTTTTTTTCTCTTTCTTTATCTTTTCTTTTTCTTTCTTTTTTCTTTCTTTCTTTTGTGCTTCTACACTTTCTTTATCTCTTTCTTTCTTTTTTGTGCTTCTACACTTTCTTTCTTTCTTTCTTTCTTTTTGTGCTTTCTTTTTTTGTGCTTTCTTTTTTGTGCTTCTGCACTTATTTATCTTTTCGTTCTTTTCTTTTCTTTTCTTTTCTTTTTCTGCATCTCTTTCTTTCTTTCTTTCTTTTTGCCTCTGCACTCTTTATCTCTTTCTTTTTTTTTGTGCTTCTGCACTTTCTTTATCTCTTTCTTTCTTTCTTTTTTTTCTTTTTCTTTTATCTTTTCTTTCTTTCTTTCATTGCTTCTGCACTTTTTCTTTCTTTCTTTATTTCTTTATCTTTTCTTTCTTTATCTTTTTTTCTTTTTTTTTCATTTTGTGCTTCTGCACTTTCTTTATCCTTTCTTTCTTTCTTTTTTCTTTTTATCTCTTTTCTTTCTTTCTTTCTTTTTTTTTTGTGCTTCCTTTATCTCTTTTTTTTCTTTTTTTTTGTGCTTCTACACTTTCTTTATCTTTTCTTTTTTATTTTTTTTTTTTTTTTTTTCTTTTTTCTTTATCGCTTTCTTTCTTTCTTTCTTTTTGTGCTTCTACACTTTCTTTATCTTTCTTTCTTTCTTTTTTTTCTTTATTTTTCTTTCTTTTTGTGCTTTTCTTTTTCTTTTTTTTGTTTTTTTTTTCTTTTTTTCTTTTTCTTTTCTTTCTTTCTTTATCGCTTTCTTTCTTTCTTTATTTTCTTTTTTCTTTATCTCTTTCTTTCTTTATCTCTTTCTTTCTTTCTTTTTTGTGCTTCTGCACTTTCTTTATCTCTTTCTTTCTTTCTTTTTTGTGCTTCTACACTTTCTTTATCTCTTTCTTTCTTTCTTTTTTGTGCTTCTACACTTTCTTTATCTCTTTCTTTCTTTCTTTTTTGTGCTTTACTACTTTTATCTTTTCTTTTCTTTATCTTTTCTTTCTTTATTTTTTTTTTTTTTGTGCTTTTATCTCTTTCTTTCTTTTTTTTTTTTGTGCTCTCTTTCTTTCTTTCTTTATCTTTTTTATTTTTCTTTACATTCTTTTCTTTTTTTTGTGCTTCTACACTTTCTTTATCTTTCTTTCTTTCTTTTTTTGTGCTTCTACACTTTCTTTATATTTTTTCTTTCTTTTTTTCTTCTTTCTTTCTTTATCTTTCTTTTTTTTTTCTTTTTTTTTATCTCTTTCTTTTTTTTGTGCTTCTACACTTTCTTTATCTCTTTTCTTTCTTTTTGGCTTTTTCTTTTACTTTCTTTCTTTCTTTTTTTTTTTGCTTCTGCACTTTTCTTTCTTTCTTTTCTTTTTTCTTTTATTCACTTTCTTTATCTCTTTCTTTTCTTTTCTTTTCTCTTTCTTTTTTTTTGTGCTTTTTCTTTATCTTTTTCTTTTTTTTTTTTTGCTTTCTTTTTTTTTTTGTGCTTCTACACTTTCTTTATCTCTTTCTTTTTGTGCTTCTTTTTTTATCTCTTTCTTTTCTTTTCTTTTTTTTGTGCTTTTTTTTTTTTGTCTTTTTTTCTTTCTTTTTTGTGCTTCTACACTTTCTTTATCTCTTTCTTTATCTCTTTTTCTTTTTTCTTTATCTTTTTTTGTTCTTTTGCTTTTTTTTTATCGCTTTCTTTTTCTTTTTTGTTTTTCTTTTTTTTATCTCTTTTTTCTTTTCTTTCTTTTTTTTTTGTGCTTTCTTTTTCTTTCTTTTTTTGTTTTATCTCTTTTTGGTTCCTTTTCTTTTTTTTTTTT